TCAGGTGATTTAGGAGTGGGGGGAGTCAAAGTGCCAGCTGGATGGGGGGGCCTATGCAGTGTCCCCTTGATTTCCAAGTTGGCGCCTGAGGGGGGCACCTGGTGGGGGAGGAGAGATGGGGAAAGACACATCTAGGTGCCCCTCCACTGCTTGGTCTCCCATCCAATATCGGACCCTGGGGGAGCCTGCTGAGCTTCGGAGATGTGCTGTGGCCCCTGAGGGAACTGCAGGGGGCGACCCCCAGTGGCACCCCTGGGAGAGGCAGCAGGGGCAAGGACTTTGCCCCTCTGGCTGGCATTGGCTCCCACTGGGCCTCAGGCCTGGGGGCAGCATCTCCCTGGAGGCAGTAAACCCCCTCCCCCCCAGACAGGGCAGGGCGGGGGGCAGTAAGTGGGACCCCTGCCCCTTTTGGGGGGCAAAATGCAGGGGGCTGCTGTCCAGAGCAGGACACCCCCCCCCGCCATCCCCACCCAACCAGCCTCTAAGAGGGGAAACTGAGGCATGGGGCCAAGATCACCCCCCTTCCTCCTCCTCCTCCCCCTGCTTGCACAGATGCCCCCTCCAGCAGGAGGCTCCATCCCAGGCCGGCAGGGCCTGGAGTCCAGGCCGGGCTTTGTGGGGGGCCGGGCCAGGTGAGCCCCCGCAGGCTTCAGGTAGAGGCTCCACCCCTGGGCCCAGCCCAGAGGAAAACCCAGCCCGGATCCCTCTGCCCCATTCAGGGACTGAACGGGGCAGGAGCTGGGGGGCTTTGGAGGGCGGGGCAGCGCTGCACAGTGTATGCAAATATATGTAAATCAGGCCACGCCCCTCCTGCTCGGTTCACTCTAGCTTCTAGCTCCAAGGCCAAGTTCCCTGGAGAGGGGGGCCTCACCCCTGGCCCCCTCCCAGCCAGGGGGACAAGGGGCAAAGCTGGGGGCAGGTGGGGGGCTGTGCAGGGGACCCAGGGGGCAGGAAGCAGCTGCCCCTGCTCCCCCCTTCCCAGGAGCTTCCAGATACTTTGCAAATTCCTGGCATAGCTCAGGCCCAGCAGCTGCTTGGGGCGGGGGGGCTACTCTGGGCCAGCCTGGGGAGGGGGCCGTGCAGATGGGCTGGGGCTCAGCCAGGCCCTGGCTGCCGCAAGGGGGGACACTGCCCTGGTGCCCCCTCCAACCACCTCTGGGAGCTGCGCTCAGGGGCCCCAGCTGCCAGGCACATCTTTGGGTGCGGGGGAAGCAACCCAGCAGGGGTCCCAGGGCTCTGGCAGGGCAGGAGTTAACCTCTCCATACCCCCCCACCCCAGCACCTTTTGAGTTGGGGAGTGGGGGCATGTACACGCGTGTGCATAGGCCCAGGCAAGGCTCGCAGCCTGAGTCCACTCTGGCCAGGATCCGGCCCGGGGCTTCCCTGCTGCCGGCCCAGGTGCAGGATCCAGCCCTGCCCACCCCTGGGAGGGTGGTGCAGTGGGTAGAGCAGTGGGGAGCAGGGGGACTGGGAGGCAGGACTCCTAGGTTCAACCTTCACTCCCTGCCAACACTGCCCTCGGCCTGCCCCCGTGCCCCAGCCAGCAGGGCTCCGGGGGTGCACATACCCTGCTGCAGGGGTCCCAAGGGACCGGCGCAACCCCTCCTAGGCCTCCACCCTGGTCCCATCCATCGCGGGGACTGGCAGGGTACCAGAGAGGGGAGAAGCACCTGGAGGACATGCATTTACCTCCCCTGGCCCCAGCGCAAAGGGTGGGGGCTGTCCCTTGAGTGTCCCCTGGGGAAGGGGGGCAGCTTTCTCCAGGCCTGGGGTCTCCCCCCACTTCACAAGCCGCTGGGGACCTGCCCAGAGGCCTCCTGCAGCATGGAGTTCCCAAGTGATCAGTGTGCAGGAAGGGAAACTGAGGCAGGATGGGGGCAGGACCTGGCAGGTGGCTGCAGACATTGGTGCAAAGCCGGGACCCTCAACCCCCGCAGGCAGATGAGGTGCTGGCTCGGTCTGGCCCCCATGAGACAGCCCAGGGGGGCAGGGACTGGCAGCCCCAATGTGCATGTGCACACACCTGCACTGATGCACACGCATTCACACGCAGGCTCCAGCCCCAGGGAGCGGCCCATTAGGGCTAGGGAGTCCTGCCACCCCCCCCTCCCCACAGGGAGAAGGGGCGGGTCTTCTCCCATCCACCTCCCATTGGCTCCTCTGCCTCCCCTTCTACTTGCAGATTGGCTAGTGTGTGCCCCATCACTCCTTTAAAGGGGCCAGCACCCCCCTAATCCAGCCGCACAGCTGCCCAGGCCCGCCCTAGGACAGGCTGTTAGCACAGAGCAGGCACTAGGGGCACCACGCTCTGCCCACTAGGCCAGGCCACCCCCTGCACCCCGGCCCCCCCCATGTGACAACTGCAGCCCTCAGGCTCCAGTCCAGCAGCAGGTCATGGGGAGCAGGCTACACCCCCAGACTCACCCGACTGGGATCCCCTACCCTACGACCACGCCCTTCCCCTATGGCGCGGGAACATAGGGGCAAACGCCAGGCAGGGAGTCACATGCCTGGTTTATTGCAAATGCAGCCCCAAGCACCCAGCAAGGGCTGAGCCGGGCACAGAGCACAGGGGACGGGAACCCTGGGGGGGCACAAAGGCCCAAGGTCCCCCCTGCCCCCGAGAGGAGCGAGCTGGGAGAAAGGGGCCGAGACGCCCAGCTCCCCCACCCATGTCCAGTCCTGGCAGCCGGTGCGTTGTTGGGGGGCTCCCACTGAAGGGACCGTGGGTAAAGTGCTTGTGAGATGCCCCATGCCAGTCTGGCAGGGCACTGATGCCCAACCCCCTGCTCCCCCCACACCAGGAGGGGGCAACAGCTTCCCCTGAACCCAGGGCAGGGCAGGCATTTGGCGCTAGCTGTAAACAGGCTGGCACAGAGGATCTGAGGATGCCACGGTGGGTGGAGGAGGGACTGGGAGTGGCACAGAGCTGCCCAGGGCAGACAGCAAGGCCATGTCCGGCTGGCAAAGCCCTGGCCTGGCTGGGGCGACACCCCCAGGGCAGAAGTCCAGGCTCCCAGGGCCACAGCTAGTCGCCCGTCAGGTCCTCAGGCACATTGAGCCCAGAGTGCGTGAGGAGCTCGCCGTCCCAGAGGGCAAAGGCGGGCACCACGGGGCTCCGGAAGTCGGCCGACAGCGTGTGGAGGCGTCGGCGCCAGCCCGCGTCCACCAGGCTGAGGTGCCCAGCATCATAGTCCAGCAGCAGCCCCACGCGCTCAGGCTGCCCCACGCTGGGCAGCGGCATGGCCTCGCCGCCCACGAAGGCCTGCCAGCGGCGCTGGGCGAAGGCGAATACCCAGGACCGCTCGTCGGTGCCGATGCAGCCGTCCCGCGACACGTCCACGTCGGCCACGCCGAGGCGGAACTGCTGCGACCGCTTCACCGTCACCTCCCAGTAGTGGCGCCCGGCATCCACGGCCGTGTCGCCAAGCACCACGGCCCAGTCCCGGAAGCGCTCAGGGTTGCGGGGCCGGGGCGCCTTGGTGGGGTCAATGCCCACCCCGCGGTACACGGCGCCCGTGTCCCGCTTGAACAGGTCCAGGGTGCTGTGCGCCGTGCGCTCGTCCAGCTTGAAGGTGATGTCTGCAATGGGGGAGGGGGGCGTTAGGAATGGAGCCCGTGGCGTGGGCACTACTGCATGTCGTGGGGCATGGGCCCTGCCGGCTTGGCACCTGAGAGCGGGTCGCAGCTGGATGTGTACGGGTGGGAGCCAAGGGCTTGTGGGGGGTGGGGTGGGAAGGACAGTGCCGTGGCCCGGAGCCACGCCAAGACCAAGGTCGTGCCAGCAAGTGAACACGGAGGGCAGGGACAGGGCAGATGGGCGGACAATGAAAAGGGGCCCTGCCAGGCTGGGGGGGCACCCTGCCAAGCCCCCCAGGCAAAGGGGCAGGGGGCCACACAACAGCCCCCCCAGGGGCCATATCCCACAGGGGTGGGAAGGACAGTGCCGTGGCCCGGAGCCACGCCAAGACCAAGGTCGTGCCAGCAAGTGAACACGGAGGGCAGGGACAGGGCAGATGGGCGGACAATGAAAAGGGGCCCTGCCAGGCTGGGGGGGCACCCTGCCAAGCCCCCCAGGCAAAGGGGCAGGGGGCCACACAACAGCCCCCCCAGGGGCCATATCCCACAGGGGCACAAGCAGCACCCCCATGGGGCAATATCAGCCCCCAGGCCCCGCCCCC